ATACAGTTTATAACTTACAATGTAAACGGGTTGAATTGTCCAGGGAAAAGGTTTAAATTATTTAAGGAATTGCAGCATAGAACAGCTTCAGTGGTTTTCTTGCAGGAAATGCATTTTGAAATAGAGTCAAATGTTAGGTTGAACTCCAGATACTATCCATCATGGTATTATGATGATTCCACAATCAAGAGAGCAAAGGGGGTAGCCATAGGATTTGCAAAAAATATTAGGTTTGAGTTGGAGGATAGAAAGACCGATCCTGATGGGAGGTTCTTATTCCTAAAAGTTAAAAGACATTGAATGCACAGTTGCTAACATCTACTGCCCAAATAAGAAGCCAGAGATATTCTTGAAAGGAGTTTTAAAAAGATTGATGGATTTCAGAAAGGGATATTTGATAGTAGCTGGAGATTTTAATGTATGTATGGATCCACAAATGGATACAACTTCTTCTGTATAAAGGGAGGGGAGTAAGTCCCTGAGATTATTGAGGAAAGTGATAAGAGAATATCAATTAGTGGACAGTTGGAGAATCATGCACATGAAAGATAGAGATTATTCCTTCTTCTCAAGGGCTCATGAGACGTATTCTAGGTTGGATTACGTATTGATAGATTACCGATTAATTGACTCTCTGGTTAAAGTAACAATAGAGGTAATGTCCTTCTCGGACCACGCTCCTGTTGTAGTGAAAATAGGATGGGGAAGGAGGCCGCTAGGAGGTTCGGTATGGAGGTTGAATGAGGCACTTCTTCTGGATCAGGAAACGGAGCGGAAGATTGGAGAGGAGATTAGGAGATATTTCGAAGAAAATGAAACGGGAGATGTGTCGGTGGCTACAGTGTGGGAGGCCCATAAGGTGTATATAAAAGGAATCCTTATCGCAATTGGGGCAAGTAGGAAAAGAGAAAGGAGGGAGAAAATGATTATGCTCCTAAGGGAATTAGCTGAGTTTGAACAGTTGCATAAAAATAATATAGCAAAAGAGATAATGCAGAAAGTAAGAAAAAAGAGAGAAGAATTAGAGAATATGATGGAAGAGGAGAAGAGTTTTTAATAAAGTGACATGTGAAAGATATAGATGGGGGGATAGACCAGGAAACTTTTTGATGAGAGCTTTGAGGAAAAAGAAGAATAGGAATTATATAGATAAAATAAAAAACCACAATGGAGAACTGGTTCACTCGACTAAAGATATTGCGAAGGTGTTTAAGGATTATTATAGTAAACTATATAATATTGCCTCATATGATTCTATAAATAGGGATGGAACAGCAATTATTTAAAAAAGAAGGTTATACTTAAAAAACTCAGGTTTACCAAAATTAAATGAAAAACTTCTGAATTCCCTAGATTCTGAAATTACATATGAAGAAATAAAGATAGCATTAAAAAGCTGCATGACGGGTAAAAGTCCAGGGCCAGATGGATACACTGTTAGATACTAAAATAATACAGTGAATTGTTAATACCTAAATTGAAGTCCTACTTTAATGCCTTGGGGGGAGAGATGGAAATGCCACGGGAATCCCTGGAGGCTCAGATGGTCCTTATTCACAAGGAAGGAAAGATGCCTCCCAGTGCTCAAACTATAGACCAATATCGTTATTAAACACAGATATGAAGTTATATGCAAAGATTTTAGCAAATAGGTTGAAAGATTTAATGCCCGAGTGGATACATGGAGATCAGGTGGGATTTGTTCAAGGGAGAGAGGGCAGAGATAATGGGTTGAGATCATTGCTGCTTATCCAGAAAAGTAGAAAGGGGAAGACTCCGGTGGTGGTGCTTTTAGTCGATGCGGGGAAGGCATTTGATAGAGTTAATTGGGGGTTTATGATGGATACATTGGAGGTCTTGGGAGTGGGAGCTAGAATGAGAGCATGGATAGGAAAGTTGTACAATGGGCCCTCTGCAGTGGTTATGGTAAATGGGGGGATGTCAGAGTCTTTTGGGATGACAAATGGCACAAGACAGGGTTGCCCATTGTCCCCATTGTTGTATGTTTTGTCCTTGGAACCACTGTTGTCAACAGTAAGGAAGAACTCAGATATAAAGGGAATATGCACAGGAAATACAGAACATAAGGTGGCTGCATTTGTGGATGATTTATTGTTTTATGTTGGAAATCCTAGGATAACGCTCCTTAATTTAATGAGGACATTGAAGAAATATGGAGAGTTGTCAAATCTAAAAATCAACCCCACTAAAACAGAGATATTAAATATAAATCTTCCAAATAACAAAAAAGAGGAGATACAAAGGGAGTTTCCCTTTGTGTGGAAAGAGAGAGAATTAAAATATTTAGGGGTAAAACACACTTCTTCATATAAAAACCTGTATAAATCAAATTATATATCATTGTTAAATGAGATCAGAGAGGAATTACAGAGATTAGGAGGAGGAAATCCGTCCTGGATAGGACTTATAAATTAAATAAAAATGGTAATAGTCCCCAAAATCCTATATAAATTCCAAATGGTCCCTATCAAACTTCCGGAGGTATATTTTAAGATAATTAAAAAGATGGTAACAAGATATATTTGGAGAAATAAAAAACCCAGGGTATCCTATGAAGTGCTAAGTAGAAATAAAGAAAAAGATGGTTTGGGAGTGCCAGATTTTAAAAGATACTATAAAGCAGTAATTTTAGCTAGAATATTTGATTGGACACATAATTTAAAAGGGAAAAGTTGGGTTACAATCGAAAATTCACTTAGTGGTAATAGTTTAAGTAAGAGTATATGGGTGCCAACACAGTATAGAGGTTTAAAAGAGAGCACGAGTGTGTATACTTTAAATGTTTTAAGAGTGTGGGATAAAATGCACAAGCAGATGAAGTGGGATTTTAACTCATTTTTAATGTCATTGAGGAAGTCAGAGTTTTTTTCCACCAGGTAGAGAGGAAATCTCAGGAAAATGGATTAAGAAGGAGGATGCCCAGTTGAGAGATATAATGAAGGGAGTAGAATTGAGATCACTTAAGGATTTGGAAAAGGAAGAGGGAAAATTTTTTACTAAGATAGATATATGGAGGTATAATCAATTAAAATATTTCGTTGGGAATCTTCCTAAGCCCTTGAGATCTAAAAAAGATTGGAATTTGTTTGAGAGGCTGTTGGAATCATGGGAAGATTGGAAACATGGCACGGCTAAAATATATAAAATTCTCACTGAGTTAGATACAGTAAAAAAACTAATGTATATAGAAAAATGGGAAAGAGATCTGGGGGTGGAGATAGAGGAGGTTAAACAGAAAAACAAAATATATAGATTGATTCACGAGAATATAAGAATGCGTGAGGTGGAAACAAATTACAAATGTTTGATAAGGTGGTATATTACACCGAGTATAGAACACAAGATGAGTGGGGAGAAATCCCCTTGGTGTTGGCGGGGGTGTGGAGAGATAGGCACGATGTATCACATATGGTGGGAATGTCCAAAAATACAAGTATTCTGGAAGAAAGTAGTACATCAGATCAGGATGATCACGGAAATAGATGTTAGTCTAGACCCTGGAATCTGCCTTTTACATAGTACAGAATTATCAGTTAATAAATATAAAGAAACAGGTATATGGTACTTTTTAAATGCTGCTAAAAGTCTGATTCCCAAGTTTTGGCATAAAGTAGAGGCCCCAAAAGATGGATAGATAGAGTGGATCAGATTGGTAGGATGGAGAAATTATTCTATATGCAGGAGGATAGGTTGGGGACATATTACGTGAAATGGAAAAAATGGGAAGAGTTTAGATCAAAGGTAAAATGATGAAGAGGTGACTTTTATAAAGAAGAATACTTTTCTAGTCTTTTTTCTCTTCTCTTAGGAGGAGGATGAGAAGTGCAGGATGGAAAATAGGGGGGAGCGGGGGGGGGGGGAAGGGAAAAGGAGGTTATTTATTAGAAGGGTAGATGGGAGAATATAAGGGAAAATATGGTGAATGTTTGTTTTTATGAGAACGTAAAAGAATTTGTATTGTTAATTTTATTTTCCTACTTTGAAAAATTAATAAATATTTAAATAGAAAAAAAAAAAAACAGCCATAAAGCTTTTTATAACAACAATCCCTTCATATGTAATTATTCACCACAGCATTAGTCGGTACCTGCAATATTCTAGGTTTAAGAATTTTTGTATTGGATTTTCTTTTGGAGGGGAGGTTATATCTGCACCCTTTTGTAGCAGCCTTTTATTACTGTCTGTGTCTCCATTGGGAATATTTTTCCTCACTATCTTTTTTTCTGGTGGCCTCTTCCTACTCTATCCAAAATAAAAAAAACTGCTATGACTAGATATACATTTTAAATTGGTGTTCATGTCTGATGTATTTGTAATCCCCATATAAACGATGAGTATATTGGACGAATGATCATCCGTTTTTTTTTTTGCATGCTAGTCTCATATCAAAAGTGAAGCAGTTACTAAAGTTATGAAAATTCTTGTACAACAGGAAGGAAATTCAGAAATGATGTAATGGATTTATATTGTATTTTCGGACAAAAACTTTACTGTTTAGACAAAACTCGTACGATCTGGTATCATACGAGAAAAATTTTCATGCTTGTCCCTTCAAATAATTTCAGATGAAAGCTGTGTACTAACAATCAGACTATCATAAGATTTCTTCAAAAGCAGTATTTTCTGCACAGATTTCTGATTGTGTGTGCTGGGCTTAAGAGTTGAGGTTGCTGTAGAGTAGCGTTTAAGCCTCTATTGCCGCGGATGGCTGGTAAATTATTGCTGATCAGTAAAGTGTTGGCTCAGTCCACAATACATTTGCATTCAGTATATAAGATCCAACAATTATAAGAAAAAAACAGTTACAAATAACATAGTGGAGCTGTTTGTACAATTTGAAATACTCTCTGGAACCTAATCCCTTGTTTTCTTTTTTACATACAGAGTTGGTATACTAGTCACAGTTGGTCTAAGAGTTTCATGAGTATTGTGTAAGCCTAGCAAACATTACTAATCTGAACCTTTGCTGCCAATTTTAGGCTGAGTATGCCAAAGGAAAGCTGTGGGGACATGGAGCAGCATCTTATGACACCCCCATCATGAGGACACTTAAGAAAGCTAATGATCTCACTAGTAATGTAAGATATGCATGTTATGCAACTGTGAATGCTATATTCTTGTGGAGATACACCTGGGGGACATTTATGAAAAGAGGTGCCAAAACACACTCTAGACCTTAGAGTTTTGCAGCTATTTTTATCTACTGAATAGTTGCTATATGTATTCCATGGCCCTTTTTGCTTAAATGCCTCCTGTGGTAATTTTGTCTGTTACATATTAGGATCTGAATATTGTTTCATTTGTGCATGGTCTCTGCACAACAATTGCAGTCTTGTCCAAAAAAATTATGTCAATTTATAAATACGTCAATTTATATCATGGCAACCTATGTGCTACAAATTGGTTAAAAAAGTGGAATCTTTGAGAGTTGCTATATCTTTAAAAAGTAACCAAGAAAAAATAGAAAAATGCATATAATTGACATAGTTTATTCTGTAAAATTGGGATAAGGCTTTGAAGCATGTATGAAGTAAAAAAATTTAAAGTAATACCTTATAAAATAACTTAAAATTTTATGTGAAATTTGTTGTTTATGCACATTATCTGTTTTAGGAGTTCCAGTCTGCTTAGCGATCCGTTTTGTGGGAATTTCCATTAATAATATGATTCCACTGAATTGTGTTTTAATTATTGTTTATTTTTTTCAGATAAAATACAGGGAACAGTTTTCAAAAGACAAAGGAAAGAAACCACAATATGATCTCAAGGAAGCCAAAATTTATGAAACCTTGAAAGAAGCAAACACTCTTGCTAGCGAGGTAAAAGTTTTACTATTTATACGAATATTAAAGTGTATGTCAGGGCAAAATAAAAAAATGTCTGGTACATCTTTGCAATACATTCTTATTTGCCATCTTCTATGGGACTTGCAGAACACTGCAAGTACAGAAAAATACCTTTTGAAATCCAGTGAACACCTAGCTTTCTGTATCAACTGACAACACACTGCCAATACTGCATTGGAATCCCAAGCAGCACTGTCAGTCTTACCTGCTGGACTGCAAGGGCGCCATCTATCCCCCCCCCTTCTCTCCCAGTCAACCCTGCACCATTATTTTTGTATGGACTATATAATACCTTCCTTTCTCCTTATCTGCATAACATAAATGGGGGTATTTTGTAGGCAGGGCTGACAGCACTGTTTCCTGCACAGCAGTGATATCAGCTTACGCAGGAAGTTAGGAGCTCACTGGATCAGCAATTATTTTTCTGTATCGGCAGCATTTTTAAAGAGACTAAACATGGGAACATATGCAGGTATTGTAGAAATGACTGATTTGTTTTTTTCTGTTTTGCTAAGAAACACACTTTAGTATATGTTAAAGCAAAACTATGTTTACCTTCTCTCAAGCGCTGTGGTGTCCCAGAGCTCCCTGCCATTTGCTGACATCTTCAGTTAGTCTGATTCTGGTTTGCTGATCTCCAGCCATTTTCATTGGCTGGGCCGAGATGACGTCACTCAAGTGCATGCAGAGGAGTTAAAATTTATCTCGGACCTGCCAAAACTGTACACCGAGCTGCGTGTGCACAGCTTATTGTACAGTGCGGACAGCATGTAAGAAACTATAATGCAGATGAGATGGTAGAGTTAATTTACTAAAACTGGAGAGTGCAAAATATGGTGCAGCTGTGCATGGTAGCCAAAAAACCTGGAAGCTGCACCAGATTTTGCACTTTCCAGTTTCATGAAATCAACCCCAGTATGTCTTTTTTTATTGAAAATCCTGCCTGTTCCCCATTTTTTCCCCTTTTCCTTTAAATAACATATTGTGCATATTTTTCTTTGTGCTGCAGGTGAAATATAAGGCAGATCTTAAGAAGCTTCACAAACCGGTTACTGACATGGCGGAATCTCTCAATATGCAGCACATTACCGGCACAAGCAAGCTAGCCAGTGATGTAAGCTAACAAAACATAATACTGTTCATAATAATTTCAACACTCACTTCCATTGTCTATAATAACTTACACTGATTTCTCTACTTTCCTCTTGGGCATCAATTGGTAGTTATCCTTTTTCTATTTAACCACTAGCTCATTATTGTCATTAATTTAGTTGCTCATATATAATATCTTTTAAAAAAGTATTAAACATAACTCCTAATAAAAATAGTTTTCTAACCTTTTTTATTTTAAATCTTATCCATCCCAGTAAAACTCTAACACATTTTGAATAATTTACATTTTAATACAATAAAACATTTTACATCATCGTATTAATGGTTTTATAAATAAACATTTTGACCTAATTTTTAATCATTAGCAGTTCAGCTTTTTTAAATAACCTATCTTTTTGCTTTATAATATGTGGCTTTTTATCATGGCATTTGAAGTGCTCATGTATATCCTGAAATGTTGTTTAAAAAGAAAACCAAGGATATCAAAATTATCTCTTAAGTTCAACTTTTATTTAATAATCATAATAACTGACAATATATGAAAATTACATAAAATATATATACATATGTATGCAAACAATATTAATTAATAATTATAAATGATAAATTATACATTGGTTTTAACTTTGATAGGATTCAGCCAGCTAATTATAATTTAATATGCCATAATATTGCTCGGATTTGGCTGAATTCTAAAGGATATTAATAGTACAGTATCATAATTATATATTTTTAATTATAGATGTATTTGATTTTAAAGTTACTTTAAAGTTCAATTCATTCAAATAATCTTGGTATCCAGTAGCATGTAGGGTAATTACTAGACTACATTTGAGGCAGTTTTTGACACTTTCCTTCAGTACCAGTACAAGAAGGAATTTGAGAAGAATAAGGGTCACTACCAAGTGGTGCCTGATACACTTGAACAAGTTCATGTAAAGGAGGCAACAGAACTACAGAGCATAGTAAGTTGAGTGTAATTTTTAATTATTGCTTATACTGTATTTCTTTTTATGAATTTTCTTTTAAGCCATGCAAACCTTAAGAGTCTGATGTACTAGAGAAGTCATTTTTATACTTCATGTTCATCTTAAATACCCAATCATGTCTAAAGGATTTTATTTTAATGTCCTGAAACCGTGAACAGATCAGACTTTAGCTGAATGTTATCTGAGTTGCTTGTTTACAAGAATATTTGATAGATGCTGACACTTGTGTTCGACATCTTCTGCTTAAGAATACCTTTACTTAGTATACTTAAAAATATTTATCTACAATGAGAACTTTAATATTTGCTATAGGCTAAAAGTTATGTTCCAGTGGGGCAAGTCATATTGAAGTAAAACTATAATGGTTTTGGTTAGTTTATTTTCATACTGAAATTTTTTACAGTCCTCTAAACTATTTTATATATTTTTTTCATTACTTATGTAAAATGTACAAATTTTACAAATAAACTGTCAACCTGTCACTTAGAGGTGTCTCAACATACCTGCAGCCTTCTTCAATATTGTACAGTTAAATTGTGCTGAAAGTTTTGGACAGGCAAAGCTCGAATACCTATGGGTGGTGTCAGCTACAGGTCTTCTCTAAATTATTGCATAGTAATGAAAAGTAAAGTTGGGAGTTTTACCACTGACTACAATAGTTAAAGTAGAAGTCTGAACTAGAACTAACTAAGCTTAAAAATGCTATGCTAATTAAGATGTTTACACTTACTTATTCTCAGGGCTCTCTGGTCTGGTCACGTGATCAGCTTCCTGATGCCGGCTTCAGGGGAGAGGAGGTACAGCCAACAATGGATGCCCCACAGCTAGCCCATGGCTAAAGTCAACACCCAGGCATTCCATGCATTGTCAGGGCTCTCTCCTCTTCCCTGAAGCCAATCACTGGAGGGACCACATGACTGGACCGCAGCGCTCTGAGAATTGGTAACTTGATGCATCTTCCTTCCACAGGGTAGTTAGTATAGCTGTTAGAAAAGGGGTGGGAGCTAGCCCGTACTTCTACTTTAATGTATATACACAACCAATCTTTGCTTTACTTTGGATAGAATAATAAATTGCTGAAATTATATTCAGATTTTTATGTTTTGCTGTCTGTTTTAATTGGGGAGATTTCCTTTTAGTCATTGTTCTGGAGATACAACAGGAAGTAAAGAGAAATTCTTCAAACTAAGGGAAATTTTAATTTTAGTTGTCACTGAAACAACTGTCTTAATTTCAAGATTTATTCACTACTTCTGTTTAGGTGACAATTGTAAAATCTTGTATTTCCCATCACTTTCTGCCCCATTGACAACCGTCACCTAGACAAATACATTTTAAAAATTTCAAACATAATTTCAAAAATGGTAAAGATATTTTCCTATTTGTATTAGTGGTATAGTGTCTGTTTTTTCCAACCTAAAAATGCAAACAATAAAGATAAACTGTGTCATAGATGAGTAATAGAATGGATGAACACTAATGATATTGCACAGAGCTATATTGAGAATGCCTAATAGCTCCAGTGGAAAAAATATAAAGGAAAAGAAAATTTCTCCATATACCCTGATGTTATCTTCTTTTAATCCACCAATTCTCAATGTTCCTCAAACCGATACATCCTCTTTCACTTTTAGTACCTCAAAATAAATAAACTTCTTAATAAATTGCTGAAACTTTATTAAAAGTGCTTACACAACTTGCAGAGTAATTGCAGCAGTAAAATATCCTTTGAGCTCACGATTTCCTATTGTCAGTCCGGACCTCAACCAAAATGGCCACTGAGACACCTCCGGCAACGTCTGACGTCTGATAGCAGGAGCCTGGAGCTTAAGAGCCTGCCTGATTTAAGTCTTCACTGTCAACTAATGTACCTTACCAGATTAACACTATTTGGATATTGCACTGTATGATCACAAGTTCATGTGTGGTGTGGCACTGTTTCACAGTGTATGAAGGATTGCTGATCACCTAAGCAAGTTTTTACCTACTCTGGGTAAGGGTAGGAATTACAGTCACTGGATGTACAGTTGTGTTCAAAATAATAGCAGTCAGACATCACTAACCTGATCAATCACTGTTTTTGGTAGAAATTATATTTCTACATGGCAAATAATTTACTAGCAGGTGTAGTAGAGTAATAGAAATCCAACAGACCCAACAGTCATGACATGCATGCTGCTGATCCTGTGTAATTGAATCACTAATTGAAAGGGGCATGTTCAAATAATAGCAGTGTGGAGTTCTATTAGTGAGGTAATTCATTCTTTGAAAAACAGGTGGCAATTATTGCCCTTATTTAAGGAAGGAAGGCAGCCAATGTTGTACATGCTGGTTACAGTGCATTTCTCTCTGAAATTCTGAAGTAAATGGGTCATTCTAGACATTGTTCAGAAGAACAGCATACCTTGATTAAAAAGTTGATTGGAGAGGAGGAAACATATAAAGAAGTGCAGAAAATGATAGGCTTTCAGCTAAAATGATCGCAAATGCTTTAAAATGGCAACCAAAACCTGAGAGACATGGAAGAAAGCGAAAAACTACCATTCGAATGGATAGAAGAATAGCCAAAATGGCAAGGACTCAGCCAACAATCAGCTCCAGGAAGATCAAAGAAGGTGTAAAGTTACCTGTGAGTACTGTTACAATTAGAAGACGCCTATGTGAAGCCAAGCTATCTGCAAGAAGCTCCCGCAAAGTCCCACTGTTGAAAAAAAAGACATGTGCTGAAGAGGCTACAATTTGCCAAAGAGCACATTGACTGGCCTAAAGAGAAATGGCGCAACATTTTGTGGACTGATGAAAGTAAGACTGTTATTTTTGGGTCTAGTGACTGGAGACAGTTTGTCAGACGACCCCCAAACACTAAATTCAAGCCACAGTACACTGTGAAGACAGTGAAGCATGGTTGCGCAAGCATCATGATATGGGGATGTTTCTCATACTACGGTGTTGGGCCTATTTATCGCATACCAGGGATCATGGATCAGTTTGAATACATCAGAATACTTGAAGAGGTCATGCTGCCTTATGCTGAAGAGGAAATGCCCTTGAAATGGGTGTTCCAACAAGACAACGACCCCAAACACACCAGTAAACGTGCAACATATTGGTTCCAGACAAACAAGATTGACGTTATGGAGTGGCCAGCGCAATCCCCGGATCTTCATCCAATAGAAAACTTGTGGGGTGACATCAAAAATGCAGTTTCTGAGGCAAAACCAAGAAATAGAGAAGAACTGTGAAATGTAGTCCAACCATCCTGGGCTACTATACCTGTTCACAGGTGCCAGAAGTTGGTGGACTCCATGCAACACAGATGTACAGCAGTTCTCAGAAACAGTGCTTATACAACTAAATATTCATTAAGTGATTCAAAGGAAAGAAAAATCTTCACACATTTTTCAGTTTATATAGTGAATGTTTGAGTTTGTAAAGAAGAATACAAACACTGCTATTTTTTTGAACAGTCTAATATTCACTTTTCTTCAGTTTTTTAGAGGAACAACACGAATTTGATATATTTTTCTTCATGTTTTCATTTGGAATATAATGTGTAGTGTTCCCATTGCATTTGTGTGTATGAAAACAAAAGCTGTTAGAAGGCTTTTGAGCTTTATTCACTTTTATCAACACATTGCTATTATTTTGAACACAACTGTATATATGATCACTGGGGGCACTTGTTTTTTAACACTTTGATGTGTGCACCTCCCCAGTATTTGCGTTATTATAAGGATAATGCACTATGTACAGTTTATTTATTTTGAGGTACTAAGAGTGGAAGATGTATCGGTTTGAGGAACATTGAGAATTGGTGGATTAAAAGAAGATATCATCAGGGTGTATAGAGAAATTTTGAGAATTTTTGGGGGACTTATATGTTGGACATTTGTGTATTTTGAACTTATATTTCACTGCAACCGTTATTGATTATAATTAAGATGGTTAATGACATGACATTTAATTTATTTGCAATCCTGGAAAAGAAAAAGATAACAGCTGAAACATTATTGGTTGACATTGGCCAACTATAATGAATGTAAGTCAACAGCAGAGGCAAATTAAAATTTAAACCCATATTTCCATTCTAAGGAGTAATATATAATTCAATAAAAAAATAATTTTGTTACTTTGTTATTGTTACTAGTTTTTTTTCTCTAGTATCTTTTAATCCTTTAGTTATTTACTTACTTTTTTTTATCATGGATCTCTGTGTACTTGTCATCTTCCCCTCTCTTCTGTTGAAATGTGATAGAGGTCCATTCAAATATTTAATGTTTTTGATCAAGTCTAATCTATATCTTAGGCTCAACTGAATGCTGATAAAAAATGACATATTTAATGTATTCCACAACAGGTTAAATACAAAGAGAAATATGAAAAAGAGAAAGGAAAAGCTATGCTGGACTTTGAAACTCCAACCTATGTCACAGCTAAAGAGGCTCAGCATTTGCAAAGTGAGGTAAGTGCTTTCAAAATAAACTTAGCAAGGGACCACAAGCAGGTGCACAAGTCGACTAAAGTAAAAATAGCTGACTACATTTTAATATCAATTAGCACAGTTAAAATATTTATTCAAAGATTTGTGGTCATTTTATTGTTTTATCTTGTCTTTGACATCAATACAATTTAATGAGCAAAAAAACATACACATAATAAAGTGGAACTTCATGGGGTTGATTTACTAAAGGCAAATAGACTGTTCACTTAGCAAGGGAAGTATCACCTTGCAAGGGAATCTTCCCAAGAATGAGGTGAAAATTTGCTGACTTTCATCATCCAATCATCTGCAAACAAAAATGCTGTTTTTTTTATTTTCCTTCCACGTGATTGGGCATTATTATTATTATACATTATTTATAAAGCGCCAATAGTTCGCTCAGCGCTGTACATTACAAAGGGGGACAGAACATGTGACAGAACAATACCAATACAATGCAAAACATGAGGGGATTGAGGGCCCTGCTTTTTCGAGCTTACAATCTAGGAGGGAGGGGATGGTGGCACAGGAGGAGATAGCTGTGGGGGATGGAGTGGTAGGAAGAGTGGAGGAGGTCAGCAAGTTAGCAGGGGGTGGGGTAGGCTTCCCTGAAGAGATGGGTTTTCAGGGTGCGCCTAAAGGAGAGGAGAGTAGGTGATAATCTGATGGGTTGGGGCAGGGAGTTCCAGAGGATGGGTGACACCCTGGAGAAGTCCTGGAGGCGGGCATGGGAGGAGGAGACCAGGGAACTAGAGAGAAGGAGGTCTTGTGAGGAGCGGAGTGTGCGTGCTGGGCGGTACTTGGATATTAGGTCAGTGATGTAGTTCCCTTGCAAAGTGAAATTTCACCACATTCACTGTGCTCTGGGAAAAATTCTCTTGCAAAGGGAACAGCAGATTTACTTTTAGTAAATCAATCTCAAAATTTGTTTTTGATATACAAAAATCTGGCAGATGGTGTAATCTTTCCTGTATCCCTTTTGGAAAGATTTCCCCTCACATCTTGACCCTGGGACAGAAAGTGGACATTTTCCAATATGGAGAGGAGAAGGATCTAACTTTCTATTTTAAATATTTTTGTTTAAGAAGTGTTAATAAATAAATATTTATGTAATTATTATTTTATTTTAATATTAAATAAATTAGGTGCATTGTTTTCATCATCATATGGGTTCTTCCTATATTTTTGAAAGTAACTGATTGTATCTGCCTGAACACATAGTATTTGATTGAAACATGAAATGTATGTACTTAACTTTGAGAATCTGAGAAATCGAAAACATTTTGTAAAAGTCTTTATAATGTTAAATTGTTCAATTTCGAAAAAAAACCCATATAGTAATGATCTTATGGTGACTTAACATAGTAACAGGTTTTATGTCTGTTGAATGATGTCACAGTATTTTGAATTCATTTGTTAAAATTGTTAAGTCCTTCAAGAAGGAAATTCCTTGAAGCTGATATTGTTTTTGTTAAATGGTAATCTTATACAAGCTGAAATATGCATGTATAAGCATTTCTATGTACTGTTAGCATTTATTCCTCTTTTGTTGCATTGTATGTAGTTCCCTTAAACACAAAAATAAATTTAAATTGTAATAACTAGTTTGTGAGGCTGGGAAATTCCCAGGATTTGGTAGTAATTTTGTTACACTACCTAAGAACCAAATAAGGAAAAAAACTGTCAAGAGGAGGAAAAGCTACTGAGCGGATTACAGTCATACGTACTTCTGCAGCTGTGGTTGAACTATTGGCCACCAAAAGGGGCTTGCTTTTTGTTCACTGGTCAACTGCAGTGATAGCTAATGAACTGAATTCTGATAGAAGACAAAGAGAAAGAGGTAGGAAGTAGAATAAAATCAGATATAGGTTTTTAGGTTTTCATGCTTTTTTATAATGCCCTAGCCAGTTTTAATGAAAAATGTTTTAGAGTTTATGTATAGAGAAACCATTTTTTTACTTTTGGGCATATGCAATATGGTCAGGTTAGAACCCCTGTCAAGTTTTTGTTGAGGCTGTTCACATAAATTAAAACAATACCCAATGGTGGGTTCAGGAAGAAGTCCAAAAATGTAAGAAAAGCAGTGAAAGCGCAACACCAGAGTTCACAGTGTGCAGAAAGTACTCTATGAATATTGACGTGGCACTTTCACTGTTTTCGTACTTTTAGGCTTTTATCACTGTGTCACCACTAGATACATTCACCCTCTGTATGTGTCTTAGTGACCATCACCGAGACAGAAATTTGTGGCAAATCTAAATTTGATAAGACAGTTACATAGTTAGTCTGGCTGAAAAAAGACAAAAAAGTCCATCCAGTTCAACCATTAAAAAAAAAAAGTTATAATCCTACACCCACAGTTGATACAGAGGAAGGCAAAAAAAAAACCCAGTAAAGCATGATCCAATTTGCTCCTGCATGGGAAAAAAAATCCTTCCTGATCCCCCGAGAGGCAATCAGATATTCCCTGGATCAAATTTACCTATAAATGTTAGTATCCAGTTATATTCTGTGTAGCTAATGACAGTTGCCACCAAATCAATAGGTGAGGGGGGAATTTGCAATGGGACAAAGTTGTTCTGGAGACAATTGTCTAAGAGTGGAAATTCCCTTGAAATTTTAGTGAGATTTTTTCTCATTTATTATTGTGTCTCTGTGACCAGTAAGCAAAGGGACAAGACACACACAGCAAAAATAACTTGACAAGGGTTTTAACCCTTCCCTACTCATTCCAAAATAAAAAAATGGAAATATATACAGTACACTTTAACATAAATGGAGCTCCAAAATATAGGAGTTATATCAGTAATTGTCTAGCGTAACTGTAACAAAATTGGTAGTGAGAAATGCATTAATGCATACTGTGGGTAAGATTGAGCTTAAATAGGAGCAGAAGTGAAGCAGTATGGCTGCTTTAAAATAATCATGAAGGTTACTTAGCTTAATTATCCCCCTCCAGCACCACCCAGAGCTCTTATGCAGTGTCTGAAAATAGTCACCTGCATTTCCTGAACCTGCTTATAGAGCATTCTTAGATTTTTATTTCTGGCATGAGGGTAGAGGCATGACTAAACGTCAGCACTACAAAATGGATAGGATTACAGAGGGCCTCCTGGTGGTGCAGAAGTGGGTAGACCAGGACATTTATTTTAAAAGATATGAGCTAATACCTGATTGCTTGCTACAGACATCACCTTTACTGTCCCTTTCTCCTCTGTCAACAATAAAGTCAATTATAACCAGCAATCAGAAATCAGCCACTTAATGCAGCCAGAGTATTGAAGACAAATTATTGATGGCACATCTTGGTATCATGTTAGAAAATGAATACACTCATGCACTTGCATAAAATGAAAACACTCATACTCATATATACATGTATATATCTATATTTTTTAAATAACTGAATTTCACATTTGATAAAAGGTTAGATGTAACCAACTATACTGAAAGATTAAGAAACATCTTGTTAATGCTATACTATTTGTGATATTTTTCTTCCTGCCTCTATTAGAAAGAATATAAGAAAGACTTGGAAGAATGTATTAAGGGCAGAAACCTTTCTGGTTTGGAGGTTACGCCATCAATGTTACATGTCAGATATGCTACAAAAATAGCAAGCGAGGTAGCATCTGCTCTACATTTCACCACCATAATCAATAAAAATAATAACACTAATACCATCTAAATCCACCTATTTTATATTGCTGTTTATTATCTGATACTTTTTTGTCTTTTCTTTGTCTTTATTTTTTGTGCTATTACATAGCAACCCCATTTTCAAAACAATTAACTTTCCACTAAATCTTCATAATTATCTCCTAATTAATGCAACACATTACAATGAACTTATTTTTTATTCAACTTTTCTTTTAAATAACCGAAAAACAAATCCAAATTATATATGTATTGTATCTTCTAGCATATTTTTGTTTTCTGTCTTAACTGTGTTTTGTGCAGCTTGTGTTGTTTTATGTTTTTTGTATTCAGTGTTCTCTTTATATCTTTCCACATATTTGTTATTGGTTGTTTATTAACTATGCTTTTATCCCTGGACTTGTAGAAAGTGTACAGGAAGGATCTGGATGACACTATCAAAGGACGAGGCCTGACAGTGCTGGAGGAGACTCCAGAACTTCTAAGAGCCAAGAATGCCACACAAATCTTAAATGAGGTATGAGTATTCCTTTAATTCTTCTATATCAGTGCTGGATTTCGAGCAGGGACTTTGGATTCATGTACTGCTGGGGGATGGGGGTTGGAAAAGAAATTGTGGTTTTAACTGGCTACATTTATTGGCTTCTCACTTATTCTAGTAAGTAGAACTTCTGTTGGTCATGTTTTGCATTAAAAAAAACCTGTGGTAAAACAAATATGTAGGCTGACATTGATGACTTCTTACTGGGAATGCTAGTTACTTGGCATTCATGCTGTTTGGCGTCAATATTTTCTGAATTCAGACTCTGTTCAGTGACTTAATAGGTAGTCAAACCAGGATAAGGATGACAGCTCGGAGCATGCACACCTAAAACAATATAACAATGGCATCTCTTATATTTCTTTTCTAACATGTTTAAAGCTTAACTCCAGGCAGGTATAAAATACAAAAATGATTGCAGCTCTATATTCACTATTACTCATCTGGGATATAGAGAAGTAGAACAAGAAGCCTATCAGTTGTGCTGTGGTGCGCATGTGCATACAAAGAATATGCTGATATGACCTGTAAATGATTCTTAACTGTAGCAGGCAAAAATAATGTCCAGAAAATAAGGTGCCAGACAAGGATGTGCTGTATAATAGAGCTGCATAAGTCTCAGTACTGGATGAACAGAAACACATATCCTTTGACAGGTAAAACAGCTTGTTAGAAAAAAAGGTGAACTTAGCCTTTAAATGTTAACTTCCACCTCCCCTATGTATCAATATATCATTAATGTAACTCTGTTGCAGAAAAATAAAAGCTTTCTTTGATTTTGAGAACAAGGCCTTACCTTATCCCTTGCTGAATTTCTTAGAAAGCTTCATTACTTGTTGATACATAGATTTAGGAGAGAAAAACCAGTAAGACACAGGAAGGGTTTCATCAGCTGACCTCATTAGCACACACTTGTGGCTGCTGCCTTCCCCCCTTGCAGCAGATCACTACCACCCACTTCTACAGGCACACAGTTTTCCATTGTAATTAATCAGTGATCGCCATTCTCACTAAATACACAGGCATCATTTTTTTTTTTCTATCTTAATTTCATCTTACATAGATTGTTCATTTAGCAGAGTGTGCAGGAGATGAGCGATCAGGTAACAGCCTATTGTGGATAGAGTTGTAGTATTGAAAACAGGAGAAATGTGTCCTGGGTTCTGTAAAGCTCACCATACACTATACAATCTGATTGTACAATCTCCTTTAGCTCTTCCATCAACTATGTAGTGCAAGGGCCTGCCTGATTTGGATACAGTGATTGGATAGATGACGTGCCCTCTTATGATATAGTTTTGGTAAATCTAAAGGAGATCGTACAGAGATTGTACAATCAGATTTTATAGTGTATGGCCACCTTTATACACCTAACTAGTTGCACTTTCAGTGCAATTAATTAACAGCACACCAAACACAGAAACAAGCACAAATTTTGCCATGTGAAAAAACAATTCACACACAGTAAAAACTGTGCAACCCACACCACACCAAAATGTCTCATATGCTACTTTGCCATGTGTAACGCAGCCCATTGAAATCAACAGGTTGCCCTATGTGTATCACTGGAAACACAAGCCAAAAAACATGTGCTCCCTCTACTCTAGGTGTGAATGGAGCCTGAAAGTGAAATTGTTTTGTTTACACAAGAACAATGAGGCTCTGTTCACATCTGTGTGTTTCCAAATGCATGGCAAACTGCACAGGAAATGCACGCTTTGCCATGCATTTCAGAAACACGCTGCAAATGTGCATCGTGTTTGTGTTGTCATTACATGTTAAAGGCACCCCAAGTGCGTCAAACTCACCAAAAACTATAGTAACACACCATGCTCCACTCCAATAAAAGTTCTGGAGATTCTTTGGGGTGATTGTTGCGTATAGGTCAGCCTCTTCAAGTGAATGGGCTGCCCTACACGTGACGAGTGAAAAAGCTCCAAAACAAACGCATGTGGGAATGGGAGTTTTCGCTACATGGAGATGTGAATGGGGCCTGACAACTGAGTGTCTCTGTCCACTCCCTCCTATGTACTTGTATAAAGATGGCTATATTCCAGGGGTGGGCAACTGTGGCCCTCCAGTTTTGCAATGCCTCATGGGACTTGTAGTTCTACAACAGCTGGAGGGCCACAGTTGCCCACCCCTGCTATACGCTATGCAATCTGATTGTACAATCTCTGTACAATTTCCATTAGATTTACCAGAACTTTGGAACAGGAGGACACACCTGAACAATCCATTCAATCTGTATCAAGCCAGACAGGCCCTTGTACTACATAGCTGATGGGAGATCTAAAGGAGATTGTACAATCAGATTGTATAGAAAGTGGGTGGAAGGTAGTATTGTAGTGAGGGAGTTGTGGTCCAGAGTGGTGAACACGCCCTATCACACCCTCTTCTGTGGTGCAACAAGGAAGTGAAGGCTTCTAGGAGATGGTCTACAGGAAGTGAATGCTGAGAGATGATCTACAGGAAGTGATGGAATCTGAAAATCAGTTCAAAAATTCTAATAAACTGACAAGATTTTAAACCTCTTGTGGATAAGGTGAGAGAAAGGCACATTGGGATGGCAATGGGAAAAGCTTCTATTTATTATGAAAAGTGAAATTCTGCCCGAAAATGTGAACTTATCCTTTATTTTGTGTATTTAGCTGGTTTTCTAAAGTTCCATGTTTAAGTGATTAGTAAAAGTTATAACAAATAACTTAACCAAAAAGGTTCTATGTCTGGTAACTTTTTAAACTGAAAACTGCTATAGAAGCTACAGAATAATAAATATGGACTCATTTAATTAACTTTGAACATTGTAATCATTGTGCTATTGGTAAATGAGTAATTGGTGAGTAATTTATACAGTGGTAATATGATAGGAAAAAAAAACTCTTTAAAATGTTTGCTACCAATGTTGTACAATGAATAGAACAGAATTTATCAAGTTATCAATTGAAAAATGTATGTATTGACTTTTCTTACAGAAAGAGTATAAGAAAACACTGGAACTGGAAATTAAAGGAAAAGGTCTATCACTGGGGTTAGAAACTCCAGACTTCCAGAGAGCAAAGAATGCTACCGACATTGCCAGTCAGGTAAGCGCTGCGGTCTGCAGCAAATTATTATTTATCCTATTTGCTTCCTAAAGTTCTATTGCCGTGCTTTTTTTTGTTTAGATTTTTTTTACTTTCTTTAGGAAGCCTAAAACTGTGTTACTTTTCCGACAGGTAAAATACAAACAATCTGCGGAAATGGAAAAGGCCAGTTATACAACTGTTGTAGATACACCAGAGATTATCCACGCTCAGCAAGTCAAAAATCTTTCCAGCCATGTGAGTATAAATTCCATCATTAATGCATTTCATATTTTTGCTTTTCTCATATTCTAACTATGAAATGTATTCACATAGTAAGAATCTGTTTATGTAATGAACACTTTAAATATTACATTTGGATTTCTATATTTATATTCAAAGTGACAAACACATTAATAGGACATTACTGAGCCCTATAACATCTGATATCTTCTAAGAGAAACTGTAGTGTGTTGCTGTGGGTCTTTCCATAAAGTGCAAGTAGGCACAGCTCCTTGCACATTATGCAGACTTATCTCTGGATTTGCTTTCCTCTATGGTGGAAGGTCCACAATTCCAGTTGCCACTTATTGTGCTGCCATTGCTATCTTTGCCACCAACTTTCCTCTTTGACTGTTGGGTGTCAACTCCCGTGCATGCATGCTGATGTTACGTTGTCCTGCCACTTGGTTCCGTCTTGTAGATGCCAGCAGTGTAAACTGCAATGCATATGCACCACAGGCAGTGTGGACAAAAGATAAAATTGCGCAGAGAAAGGAAAAGAGTTTTTTGGCAGAAGGGACATGTGAAGTCTATTTAGCTTGTCCTAAAATTCATGTTTTAACTTCTGAGAAACAAGTATGTTATTATTTCATAGGAAGAATTTTACTTACAACCTACACTAAAAGGAAGTTTAACTAATATTCTAGTTTAAGTTTTTTTTTAATTGATGTAGTATGTATTAGTTTGTTATTTATATAAAATATATATCTGTATCCCTGATAATTATTTACATAAAAACTATACATCCCTTTTTGAGAAAATCTTTCAGCCATTTTAGTAATTTACAATTACTAGAACCATGAGGTGCTTGCTAACTCCTTCATTAGCTCTTCCCTTTTTTTGAGCTGTATTTAGTTTTGTCACATGATCTCCCCTGGTCCTTTTCTTCCTTTGGAGACAGTGGCAGGTCCTAAGTAATGTGAAGATCGCAGCTATGTAATGATTACATGTCATTGTTCTATGCATCATCTTTTTGAGTTCAGGCAGCATGAGGGTGTACCCCCAGGAGGCATGTCATTGATGCCCTTGGCTCATAGGAAGTGGTTTGAGTGATGCTAGTCATCATTTAACCTGGAAAAGGTGCGGTGGCCAGGAGCATAGGTGGATGCAGAGGGCAGCAATTGGAGCATGGGGAGGGTGAGTACTGCTTTGGAAAATTTAACTACATATATTTAAACTATTGGAATAAAAATATTTTGTTGATATACATACCACAACATTTCAGTTTAAACTGATTTTTTGCTGCTTTTAGTACTATTATTTATACTTACATTTTATACATTATGTTGTGCAGAAAAAATACAAAGAGGAGGCAGAAAGAACCATGTCCTATTATGTACCTGTACTAGACACACCTGAAATGCAGAGAGTCCGCGAGAACCAGAAGAACTTTAGCACTGTAAGTCATTTAACTCTCCCATGACTGCATTTTGTTTGTTTAAACCAATTGGAGAAGAGAGAAAAAATGGAAAAGCACTCAGCTCTCATTTTGCACTAAAGTTCAGATTTAAACTTGTAAAACTGTTGACTAAAGCTATGTCTACAGCGATCTATCCTGAGCAAATACACTGAGCTAAAGATGGACAGTCGTTGTTTTTAATGGCCAGACCTTGTACATGTGTTTTTTTTTACTACAGAGTACGCTAGAGGATGAACACATTGTCAGGCTTGCTATGCAAAGAAAACTGCCATTAGTCTGCACATGCTGTCTCCTCTCTTATTTAGGAATTTGTTAAGGCAGGTGGTGAAGGACCTGAATATTGATGATCAAAGCACAGTTATGATTGATGTGCTTAAAAAGTTTTTATGTTACAGTACTTTTTTCTGTTCTCCTCATAAATTTTCTAAAAGTGATTTGCACATTAGCATACATTTTTGTTGATTACTACAGGATCCCTTAATGCAATGAGATTGTGATATCTGTGACCTTGCCTAAAATAATACGGAATATTTTTACCTTAATGCAATAAAAATCTATTTATACATTATTACAAAAAACATGAAAAAAATGAATATTCCTAAAATTGTTGTTTGCAATTGTTTTGTTAGACTAACTCCTGCCACAGCTCATATTCCAGTTTGGCATGGTTGATAAACTAAATGATAAAGCTAGTCCAATTAGAATGTTAAATAAAGTAAAAAACTATTGCAGGGAAATCTGGCTTTGGAGGCTCCAGGAGATATAAGAAGCTAGCAAATGATTCCTGTCCCCATGGCCACCCAAAACTGCAGTCAGAGCATTATTATGTTGACATTATTTTTTTTTTATTATTTTACAAGGATTTTTTAAATTTGTGCATGGATAATACTTATGTGCCAGTCTGCATTTGTGGATGGTTTCATCCAAAGTTCCTTGAAAGAGCAAGTTGGAAGTAATTTTTGACCTCTATTTTTTTTTGGGTGGAACCACTTGATTAAAAAATGTCTACTCATTTTTAATTGTTCCAGCATTAACAAAAAAAAATTGAGGCTAGTGCCTGAACTTTATTGTTGCGGCACTTCTTCATGCAGCCACCAACTGTTTTTAGTTCTAATTCACTGGCAAAATCCTGCCTGCTAACTGTTGTAGTAGCAACATTTCCTGTTAGGGAGATGGGTCCCCTGAAACGACTAGCTGTATGCTATGTGATTGGTCTCAACAAAGCTGCCCATAGTTGTAATATCAGTTAGGATGCCCTTCAGACTCCACCTTCCTTTGCCTCTGAAAAGTTAAGGATCAGGGCATCAGGAAATTACACCATCCAAACTTCAGCAAGGAACTTCTGAGTACAGAAGAGAGGTAAGTGAAAAAACTACAGAGTGGTGGAGAGATAAGGTTTAACTAACCTGTTAACGTCCAAATTTTGGCCAGTGTTTCAATCATTGGAACGCCATAATCAAGACAGGTAAACTACCAGTCCTAAGATCTGTTTGCTATTTGTCAGCTATCTTTGGAAAATGTGCGCAGATGTTGATTTCCTGTCTCTACAATAGACTGCAAATGGCTGTGCTAAGTGAATCGTGATACATTTATGTTAATTCAAATGTACTCGTCTTTTTCATTAAAAAAGTATTCTTCTAAAATGGGAATACTTTATTACGATTTACGTTAAGTCTGTAAACCTCAGTGTTCTTATTTTGATCTTGATCTTCCTATAATAGCCAAGTTATTGACAGCCCTACACTTCTCATATTCTAGAACTGTGTTTTTTCCAAATGAACCTTAATAATTTCTACTCTTTTCTTATAGCTACAGTACCAGGGTGACCTTAAACAAATTAAAGGAAAAGTCACAGTGGTTAAAGACACGCCAGAAATTCTGCGTGTTAAAGAAAATCAAAAGAATTTCAGCTCGGTATTTTTTTTTTTTTAAGATTCTTTCAAAAGTTCTAACACAAATAATACCATAATAAAGAAAAAAAGGTAGCCTAACCTAGACATCTTTAGCACAAGCTAACATTAATGGCCACTTATATCATAAGCTGCTGCTTTCTCTGTCTGCAGTATGTAAACACTTTACCAACCCATCCCCATAGTCAATGTTCTAGTGATATGACACATTTTGGGGTCTGATCAAAATTGTCTTAAGTCCTATATGTATGTTTTGTGTTCGGTCTGTTTGTGTTGGATCTCTTTTTTTATTATAAAAAACATGGAACTCCAACCAAAACATATTTAGTTTTGGGAAGCATAAAATGCTTATATTCTTTATCAGGTCATTATTGTTGTTTGTACTCCTATCAGGAAGATTTTACCTTATGTTTGTTTCAAAGATGCAGGAGACGTTGATACTGACTTCGTCCCATCTCTAGAGTGCGTTCTCCATCAATTTCTGGATCAATTTTGGTCTGGAGAAACAAGCAATAAAAACCTGACAGAGGACATATTCCTTTTCTTGAACTGTTCAAACTATAAAAAAAAGTTCTGTATGGAGTCCCACTTTTTTCGTATTGTATTGTCTTTGCATGTTTTACCACTGTGTTTGTCAATGTCAAGCATTCAATTTTCACATGTACAATATAATAAATGTTGACCACTGCTCTTTATCTATAGTTATAAGGTATAAAGTTAGATTGACCCGAGGCCAGCAACTTCCAGGGTAACTAAATTAACATCAGTCACGGTGCACTTGCAGAATAAAATTGCAATTTTTTCAAATTCTGAATCTATTAAAAGTTGAATTTGTTAATGCTATTCTTTTCAACGGTCTCAAGCCTTAAACCAACAACAAAACCAAAAATGTTGTTTATTAACCTGTAACCTTGATTCTAACTTACAAGATACTGTACAAAGATGAAGTTGGAACAGGAATACCTATTGGGCACACCCCAGAGATGGAGAGAATTAAAAGAACACAGGATGCCATTAGCACGGTACAAATAATAATTTAAAAATAATATAAAAATATAGCAGTAATAATTTTAATATAGTAATAGTTAAGGCTCACTAGCTGGCCCCTTCTAATAATTTATGATCTAACAACTGCCATACTAAGATAGTAAAGTTGTCTACTTTTTAACTACCATTATATTAACTTTCTCTAAACAAGATTGACAAGTACAAAAGGATATAACATTCTAAACCTATATGTGTAAATAATATTTACATTGATTAATATATTTAAATATTACATTACTTAGTAACACAAACAATGCTAACAATATTTATCGTGAACTGATATTCACCTTCATTATACATTTTTAATCATATGATTATATATGAGTAAAACGTACATTACTACAAATAAATGTATATGAAATTTTATAAATGTATAATAAGTTTATCTGAAATGAGGATCCATTAAAAATAATAGTCATTTATGATGATGAAAGTCATCAGACTGCGAATGTCAGTCTTGAAGTCTGTCTAAACCATTAAAAGTAGAATTGTGGCCAGACTATAGATATTCATATTGCATATCTTGCATATTTTAGCAAGCAGCAAATAAACTTTAAAACAAGCCCTCAATCACCTCTGTGACTGCAGCCATTATCGAATAATTCAAAGTTTCCAGAGGAAGATTTTCAGTTTCTCTTCCACTTTCTCTGGATAACTTGGCTTATCAATGCAGAGAGCAAGTTGGTGGTAAAGAGGAAAAAAGAAAAGTGCCAAGACCTAATATTAACAAAGTCACTGCTCCTATAGTGAACTTCGAGGATGAAATTTTCCATAGTGGGTGTAATTACAAGAGTCAGTGAGGTTTTTTTTCAACGCTTGCTTGTTTAGAATATTTTAGTTCTTGAGTGTAAATAGCCTGGCCACACTTATACTTTAACCTGACAAAGAGTTAAAAATAGTTACCTAGAGTTGACTACACATGCCAGTTTTTACATCTTTGAGCACTCTAGGAGCTCCCAATCCAGGGACCACCCTAGGGCAATTTTGTCACTGAAAGCCACCATTTGCATATTGAGTGATATGAGCTTTGCGGCACTAAGGAAAATAAAACGGGCAAGTTCAGGCATCTCTATATAACCATTCTTATCTCCTTATATAATTTTCAACATCTAGAGAAACAAGTCTTTTGTAATTTAATCTGTTGCAATGGATCAGAAAGTAATTACTATAAACCTGATGTATCAACATACACTCTAGAATATACAATTTTCCTCAGCCACCAGATTTAAACTTGTCATGAAAGTTTAAGTGTAATTAATGACTGTAGTGAGATAAATCCAAATTTCAGAGAGAAATTTCTAGGACATCCAGCACATTATGAGTTGAAGCAGAACTGATTCACAAGCAGTTTACTAGAAATTGGTTAAAAATACTGAAAAGGCAGTGTATCCATCACTAGATAATTGTGTTATTGTTGATAACCTAGTCTGAAGACTTACTAGGTCTTTTGCCTACTCAGTGATGTCTATGGTTACCAGTAAATTAATAGGCCATACAATAAACGTGCTACTTATAAGTTTACAGGCTGCATTATCACTGATGCCACTGATTATAAAACATATGTTTTGCTTTCATTGACATCCCTAGTCTGTATAAAACAGGCAGGTAGCAGCTTCAATGTTTTTGGTTTAGTAAGAAAAAATCGAGGCAAAAGGTAATCACATCCCAGGTATGCACAACCCATCACCATACTGAATACCATTCTGATGTCTTCATGTAATACATACATAGTCCATCACACACTCCTGTGTATGAACATACATGCAGTCATGTATGGAAATGTCTTATGTGCTAAATGTGCATCATTTTGTTTCTCCATTGTGTGTAATTTCATAGATAAAATACAAGGAAAGTGTTGGACAAGGTACTCCAATTCCTGACCTTCCGGAAGTGAAACGCGTAAAGGAGACACAGAAGAACATCAGCTCGGTAGTGGCTGATCATGTTTATACTTTAGTCCTGGTTTGCTAGTGTCCCTTATGCTCCCCATTTACTAAAGAGCCCTTCATATCCTCAGTCCCTTTCTAATGTCAGCACTACTCTCATGTCTCACTGTCTTTAAGCTGTAGTAGATATATTAGTTTGCATTCCTTATGCAAATGAACAGAAATTATCTTAACAGTTAATTACATAACTAACTAACTGGTTTTCCTCTACCCCCCCCCCCCCCCCCCCCCACCACCTTAATATTGTTCTTTCCTTATTACTAAAGGTTGTCCTAACTGTATTTTATCTGATTTTATTCACTGGCTAGTATTGTCAGGAACATATATATAAGATGTATTTAATGTAATTTAATTTTTTTTTCACCAGTATATATTATACTGTTACTAATACTGTATATACTATATAGCTGTTAAGAATTATCTAATTTAGAAGCATGTTATCTGCCGTGGGGACCTTTTTCTTTTACAATTGTATAGCAATGCTGGCACCATCAGTTAATCTATAAAATGCACATTGGTAGCCTCCCCAAGCAGTTCCTTCACATTGGGAAGGTCTCTATATTGCTTGTTAAAAAAAATTGTTTAAAAAATAGTCAGAAAATCACTTGACCCTTACATTTGACTTCATGGAGAAATCTTCAGGGACTGCATTCCAGCAAGGGGCAAACGTATATTCAACTAAATCAAAAGCCAACCTCTATTTAAATTTGTTTTTATTAAATTTTCTTTAACGATATTCTTCTGCTTTGTCTTACACTCTAAAGCACAGTGGGAGTTTATTTTATTGGAATATGTTACTGACTATGTAAGACATTAAACCAATCCTGGAAAAGAGTGCAGGCTGTCAAAAGGATGAGCAAAATGTGCGGGATTTGAGCAAAATTTCACCATTTTGTTAAGTCAAAGGGGAAAGTATGAAATGAAAGAGGTTTTAAACATAGCAAATTTCCCCTTTAAGCTTAGGGTACACCATCAGCAAATAGTGTACAAAGGAAATACTTTAAAAACTATACCATAAATACTTTTTTTTTTATCATATTTTATTGGTCTTCTCAGCTCAGCACGGCCTGGGTCAGGGGCTGGGCTAAGCTGCAGCACTTCACATATCCTAGTGGCATCACTTCAGCTTTTCAGACCCCCCTCCTAGGCCATGCAGAACAGAGTTGTCAGCTAAGCATCTGATCTGTTGCTGTCTGTGCTGTGGGCAGCGAGGGGGATTATGCTCCACTGTAAGCTGTGAGTAGACACAGTTTACTTGTTATAAGAAGGAAAGCATCCGCACTTTCTTGGCAATGCTCCATTGGTTGTTAACACTGGGAGGACAGAAGTCTGAATGATTGGTAGGTGACAAAAAAAAGTGCAGACAGATTATAAAATGAATTGGGAAAGTCCTGATGTTTTTTGGGGGGTTACAACCTCTTCAAAGAAGCAATAGGCTTTGAATGGCTGCATTACGGAAACTCCATTTATATATCCTGGACTCGTTCTTGTACTAAAAAAAAATGGCGCCTAATCAGCCTCACAAAAAAGGCAGTAAAAAACAGATAAAAACTTTAATGTGTTTTAAAAGCTTTTAGCAAAAATCATAAAAAAGGAAATAAAATGTGGCATAAAACAAATACACAAATAATAATCCTTCACACATACAAGGAAAATACAAGTACTCTAAATGAAATTAAATAAATTAAATTACCCTGAAAAAAAACATCTTCTAAGCAAAGCAGCATTGCTGAATTTCACACCGAGGTCAGTTTTGCTAAAATTACCCTTCTCATCCCTAGTTGTCAGTGCTGACCTTTCTAAAAAATACTAGGTCTCTGGCTCATGCTAATCCAACAGCTTCAATACTTTCTGGGGCAGTGACTGCAGTTATGTAGATTAGAAATTCTGACTTCACTCTGGCTTTCTAATCTGCATGCTTGTTTGAGGTCAGTAACTCAGAAAATACTAGAGCCAGAGACAGGTAAAATACTACTTAGTATTCTTAGAAGGAGGTCAGCATCCATTTCTCTCAGTACAGGTTTTTCTTTCAGTATAGGTTTTGTAAATGTATGGTAACAGGAATAATACTGAATTTTAAAAAGTACCTATGACTCCTTTTAAGGTTTGTGTATACTGGAGGTCTGCTTTACGTCCCTTTTAATCTGTTAATAATCCAGGTGCGAATAGAAATATAACTGCATCACACATATGATTCCTTGGAACCCTATAACCTTGTGCATCAATGGTTAGACATCGAAAGCTGAAAGAACTATTGACAGGAAAAAAAAATATTAGAAAAAACCCCTCCCTTCTAAATGCTTTATATGCATTATCACTTGGGGACCTTGTGCAGTGTTAGCTAAATATTTTCCTTCAGTGGTGAGCAAAATTTACCAATTTACCAGGCAAGCTACCTACAGTATACACACAAACCTCATAGAAGTGTTTTAGGTCTTTAGAGAATAATTGGACATATTGGTGCTATTTTGAGTGCTTTTTTGTGTCTCCAGGTTTTGTACAAGGAAAGCTTGGGGCAAGGCACCCCGACACCTGTGACTCCAGAAATGGAGAGGGTCAAACGCAACCAAGAGAACATTAGCATGGTATTTTCAAATCTGAGAATTCAGTTTAAACCTCCTCTAACAACAACATTTAAATTAATTACTTCATAACCATCACTGGTCATTTTGATGAATGCCTGATGATGATTTCTATTCAAATGTATATTAACATATATACCTCATAAAATTTCTCAATAATTACATTAACATACCTTCCCAAGAAGCCCTAAAACATGACTAAAAAATTAATGGATAAACCTTCATCCTAATAAACAATTACATTACTTACTGTAACTGAGTTGTACTATATCAACAGTCTATTAAAATGTCTCTGTTGCTGGGTTAGAAAAATGGACCACCTGCAAAATAAGCATTTTCTCACTCGCTTGTCCCTACACCTGTTTCACTGATCTTCACTTTCTTGCACAGCAATCTATTTTTCACACTTGACATACTTCCCGGTCCCCTGCTGCAAGCTATTGTTCCTTATGCCAGTACAAGACACAATACTGCCACAGGGGTCAGCGGAAGGAACCATCGGAGGGCACAATGGGGAGATGTATGATTTTGAAACTCCCAATGTGTCAAATGTGGAGATTTTTTAGGTAGGGCATAGCTCTTCAACACAGTTGAGATCACAAGAACTGGCAGTGAGAGAAGTGAGTACAATGCCTCTTCTTTTGCAGGTGAAGCTTAACCCAGCAACAAAGTTTCTTTAAATAAGATATTTGACATGTGAACCAGCTCTCTACTGACCTTTCCGTGTATCAGTCATTGCTCAGAAACTATTTAACAAAGCTAATTTTCTTTCTAAACAGCTATGTGTTTTGTTTTTTAAACATCAGTAATATTTCTGGGGTACCTTCTTGTACCATCAGGTTATGTACAAAGAAAACCTGGGAACAGCAACACCAGTGCCTGTGACTCCTGAGATGGAGAGAGTAAAGCGCAATCAAGAACATATTAGCTCGGTATTTGCCAAAACTAAAAAGATCCCTCTAAAGTTTCACTTAAAACTCCCTCACTATAACAACTTTAACTGTGACCTTAATAACCTAAATTGTGAATGATTTACCTTATTACATTCCTATTCACACACTGTAACTAGATTAATTCAGCCTTATAACATTTTTCCATTAGTCTCCTTGGAGTTGATATACTAAAGGAAAATAGGCGTTTCCCTTTTCAAGGGCATTTTCCCTTAACTTAACATATGAGGTGAACCTCTGCTGACTTCCATCATCTAATCATGTGCAAGCAAAAATAGTCTTTTTATTTTCTTATTTATTAATTTATTTATTTCAGGTACTTATATAGCGCCGTCAATTTACGCAGCGCTTTACACATATATATTGTACATTCACATCAGTCCCTAACCCTCAAGGGGTGTACAATCTAAGGCCCCTAACTCACATTCATACATACACATATTAGGGCCAATTTTCTTTGTATGTGATTTGGTATTCTTTGCAAAGGTTATTTTTACCACATTCACTAATTTAAGGGCTACCTCATTTGCAAAGTGAACAGCCTATTTGCCTTTAATAAATCAACTTTCTTGCCTTAATCAGTTCCCCAGCTGCCTTGTACATTTTTCAACAATACCCTACTTTATACCTTATTGCTCACAAGTCTTTTAAGTTCTCCATTCTGTTATCTCCTAGTCCATTGTTTCCTAAACATAAATTCTTATTTTTCTATGTCTCCGACAATTACATTTGTGACTTGTAATATCTGCTATACAACATCCCTCCTAATTCCAGAACTTGCACTTTTTTCTTTAAAATGAACTAACTAAACATACTTTAGCTAAAACCACAGCACTCCCCACAGAAATTCTACCACTTAACATTAACTTAAATTATCAATTAAATATTCCTTCTTACCCACTTTGAACATAGTTTCCATTACTCCCTGTATGTTTTCATCATTTAACAGCTATTCTGCTAATCCCAATGCATTTCAACTCCATAGATGCCTTTTAAATTTTTAAACTATATTTCATCACTTTCCAAAATAGAATCACAACTTTTATGCTTTTTTGTATGCTCCCTTTGTTAAAATCCTCCCTTTAACATAATTTAGAAGTATGCCTTGTGTTTGTGATCCTTCCCTATTTTTTTGCCATCTGTTAACAATATATTATCTTATATTGTCTATCTTTTGTTCAGAACAACTATCTTTTCAAAGTAGTTATTTTTTTAATAATTCAGAAAATGTACTTAGGTTCTTAAACTCTAAATTGATTTAAAAAACAAGCCTCGAATAATATATCTAGCATCTCATCACCTTTCATTTTTTTTCTATAAATTATGCCAAATTTCATATTTTTCAGACATAATTATTTCTGTCCATAATCCAGTTCTCAAATTTTAGAAATTTTAAAATGAATTATTTCTGCATACTGAACATAATTCTGTCAAGAGCTAAATGCATATGACTTCCACAGGACTCCTGGTTTGTCTCATTTTTCAAAGCATACGTATATTTCTTTCAAATTTGTTGAAAACACCACTTTTCACATCCTTGCCAGCATAACTATTCAGAGAGTAATCTGGAATATCAGTCTGCATAATCTGGGTCTTTGTAGGATACAATGTGACCCTCTTCTCATCATGGAATATTTCCCGGCTTGGTTTAATTTAATCTGGTATACCATTTTCATAGTTATTGGAGCAGTGTTCCAATGCCTTATTTTTAAAATATAGCTCCCAATTTTTTTTTTAAGAATGGAATTGTGGATGGGAGGAAAGATACGCCATTGGCCTGCTTAAGGCTCTACTTTGTTCTGCTAAATACACATAATAGTTTGAGGCTTGCTCTCTCTTTAGTTTTTGGAATCGTCAAAGAATGATGACAAAAAAAATATGAGAGTAACCCAAAATATGCAAAATGTTTAAAATGGTTAATCCTGCCTACCTTTACAACCTGTAGGTTTTATACAAAGAAAGTCTGGGGAAAAGTACCCCCACTACAGACACTCCAGAGTTGGAGAGGGTCAGACGCAATCAAGAAAACGTTAGCATGGTACTTTCTGCAGAATATGCTGATTTAACTGCTTATATAAAACTGACTGCTGTCGTTTTTAGAAATAAATCATTACACTGTAACACCAGTAACAACACCTCAATTTTCCCTTGGCAGCAATTTAATTTACAGTTATGCTTACTTTAATTTTATCTGATTTTTATTTGCTTTTGTACCAGGTTAGATCAACCCAAATTCCCTCCAAATCTAAATGTTTTCTGAAAAAGTTTTCAGGGTGTTATTACATGAATATCGGGTCAACTAGTGCACCAGAAGGATTGGTTGGCATATGAGATTAAATTTGTGTTATATTAAAAAAAAAAAAAAAAAAAAAAAAAAAAAAAAAGCTTTTATACCTGGCCTATATGATTTCTGAACAATGAAATTATTGACAATTAAATAATAACAGTAATGTTATACTGTAGCAAACAAGTCTTTGCAAGTTGTAGCTATGTATTTCTGCCATTGCTTTACCCTAACAGAATCTTCCCTTACAATCTCCTATGTGCAGTGTTATGTGAGACTAAATAATAACACTAGCAATATAGTATGCTTCTATGTACTCTGATATATAAATGCTTCTTTGTGCACTGTAGGTGACATATAAAGAAAATTTGGGAAAAGCCACACCAACACCTGTAACCCCTGAGATGGAGCGTGTTAAACGCAACCAAGAAAATATTAGCTCGGTATTTTTATGTAACCCAGTCAAGGCATCCATTCCTAAAACATAATACTGTTTAATTTGTGCTGTGTATGCCTATGTTAATCTAATAGATGGATAACATTTTTGCACTTAAACATAGTAAATAAAAATAATAGTTAACATTTTCAAAAAACTAAAATGTAACATTTTATTCCTATTAAAAATATAACATGTAAAAACTAGAATATTAATGAATATTACTTTAGACTTTTTTTTTGTTACACTGAAGAGCCCTTTTTGCCAACTGTATACTTGTTGGGTATATTTTCAGTTACTTCCTGTCCTAATTATTTACTGTGTCTTAGGGATGATAGTGTCAACAAGTAAAGGGAGAAAATCCAGCCATGAAAATAGATCATTTCAAAATTGTCCAAAAACATGCTTGAAACTGGTCTATCCTGAGACCGAAATGTTAAAAATGGCAGATTCTATGGACCTCCTAGTCTGTGTATGCCGTCAATCTTCTTTGTTTCTGTTTCTAGTTATACAGCCAGGTAACATTCTAAAAGGTCCCTGAAAATACAATGGTGCGGAAACAACTACAGTAACCATAACAATAGAAATGTTCTAAATCAATCACCTTGGTGTTAAATTACAAACATGACTAATATAAACCTATAATATTAACTTGTGCTAAAAGAGAAATGTGGAAACTACACCAATCTAATATTTGTTAAATAATTAACTTCTTATCTTTAACAATTTTATAAGTAAAAACAATGTCAAAGTTTCAGTCTTTTGACAATCAGGTAAGAAAAATATCAGTGTCCTGACCCTGGAGACTTGTGCTCTACTTACTTACAGTTTTTGCTAGTAATACAACTACTGCTTGTAATAACTCTCCTACCATCCGGATAGAAAAATGAGACTTGTGCAGTCCAATCACTATTTGTTTCTTCACCCTCAGGTTCTATATTCTGACCAGTTCCGTAAGCAGATACAAGGCAGAGCTGCCTACGTAATGGATACACCTGAAATGAGACGCGTTCGTGAAACTCAGCGCCATATCTCAGCGGTAATACTGCATGCGACCATTTTAGTTTTTTAGGATTAAAAAGTTCCAATGTTTTACCTGCCAAAGGATTGTTGTGCATCCTGTCCTAAAATTTACACAGCTCTGCACTACAGCACTGCCTGGTTTAGCAGGAGAGGGGGCCTGATCTTTTTCTGCTGCACTTTAACTTACAGGTACTCTCCATACCCCCACTTTGTGACTTGACAGTGAAAGAAGAAGCAGCACACTGATGTCAATCTCCTGTCTTTTCCTATCAACATGTTCATTTCAGCACACCTGATTGGCTGCTGCTTCCCACACGCCCTCTATGAGGTCTGCTGTATAGACTGTACAGTAGACTGCAAGAGTCTAATACTAAATCAAATTTAGGAACTTACACTACTTGCATAAAGAATACATTTTATGCTGTATTCATTATTAGACAGCTTCATTAATTAATGCTAGTTATATCTGCCTTGAGTTCGGGTGGAACACGTCTTGGCATCAGCCTATTTGGGAAACAACAGAGGACCAGATTTTTAAACCTGTTTGATGAGTATTCCACCATGATATGTTCATTGGGAGGGAAGCCACTGCCAAGATATGAGATTGCCACCAAGTACAGCTAAACTTGGTGATCATCTTATGTCTACAGCTGGATATATATTAGTATATTTTTACATGAAAGATAGCCAATGATATTTATCTATATTTTATTGTCCTTAGGTGAGGTACCACGAAGATTTTGAAAAACAGAAGGGAAGTTTCACTCCTGTGGTCACAGACCCAATAACAGAAAGAGTGAAAAGAAACACCATCGACTTCAGTGACATTAACTACAGAGGAATCCAGAGGAAGGTTGTGGAAATTGAGCGCAAGAGAAGTGAACAGGATCAAGATGTCACAGGTACTTGATAACATCTGCAGTTTCTCTGTTTAGTATTTTAGGACCAGCACCTTCAAGCTTCTTCTGGAAAGAGAACCCTTCAGTTTGAATTGTTACATTGGTTTGGTTTAGTAAAGCTAAACTCCAGGCACAAAAACATTCCTTTAAATATATTCACAAATAGCTGCAAATGTTATACTCCACCTTGTGCTCACCAAATGCCTTTGTAAACCTCAGTTTCCCATATAAAAGTAGCAGTTACATTATAAATGGTCTAGCCTGTGCAGAGAGCAGAGCTGTCAGTGGGTCCCAACAGGCCCATCAGTATAGGATGCCTTCCGAAAATGCAAGCAGTGACCCCACAAAAGAGAAGAGAGTAGTGGTGACCACTCTTTTCTACAGGCAGCTCCTGCACGAAGGCACAGTACAGGCCTCATTTAATGCTGGATTACAGCACAGATCAGGAAGAAATACAAAAAGGATGCTAAGCTTTAACCCTTTTGCTGCCAGGTCTGTATATCACACATTGCAGCAGGGGTTTTACACATGTTGCTGCAGCCACCGGGATTGTGTGTAAAGCTGACAAGCAGATTCCTGCCTGTCAGATGGAAGCATTCAGGCAGCTGCAGTGCGACCCAATTGCTTCCACACACCCGTGGCAATGGCCCCCGTACCCTGTAACCTAAAGATCATCACATAGATGAAAAAAACAAATTAAGTAAAACACATTGTTTTTTAATTGTAAAAGCTTAAAGTTACACCCAAGCACAACCCCCCCCCCCACCCCCAATTTTTTGAGGCCTCACCACCCCCCCACGTATATACGCGTATGAAAGTAAATGCACATGTCAGGGCGCCTATGCATGAAAACATAGATTGCAATACACTTTACATATCACCACGCACTCCAGAGTGAGAGCAATATTTCTAGCACCAGACCTGCTCTGTAACACTAAACTGATGACCTATAGAGGGCTTTTAAAGTGTCCGCTATGGAAAATATAGGATACTAAAGTTTGTCCCTATTTAATTGGCGCATGCAAATTTAAGGTTTGACATGTCAGGTATCTGTTTACTCGATGCAACCTCATCTTTTATATTTTACCAAAAAATTGGGTAATTTATTGGGTTTGTGTGCCCTAAAATGAACTTTAGTGTATTTTTGCTGATATTTTGTGTTTCCTACACCCTTTGCGGTTATATCATGTGATATTAAAAAAATTGGAACTACCACTATTTTATTCCCTAGGGTGTCCTATCATGTTTGGGGGGGTTATGTAATCTTCAGGCCTAAAATTATTTTTTATGCATGAGTGCAAAAAAATGCAAAAACTGCTCTGGCAGCGAGCGGTTCTTCACTCTAGAAAAAAATAAAATAAAATTCAGCAGCAACAAATCCTGTAGCTGTTGACTTTTAATAAAAGGACACTCATCTGTCCAGGGATCCAACCCCGTTCTCACCAGGGCTAGTTCATCACTAGTCCTTGAGTCCCCGATGCCACCATCTGTAGTGTGGGAAGCCTTCTGTGACAGTTTGCGGCTTCACAGTCGGCTTCCTATTGCACATGCAAGATCCACTTTGTGAATGGTATCGAAGCCTTCTGGGACCCGTGATGTGTCCCAGAAAGCTTTGGGAGAGAGGGGCCAAACTTCTGTTCAAATCACATAGGCAATCTGAGTGGAAGCTGGAGCAGGTACAGGTCAAAACTGGGTACCTAACCCCCCCAAAAAAAAAAAAAAATGATTTGCCAAATGTGGTGGGGGCAAGGAGGACTTAAAGCGGAACTTACCCTTTGGGGTAAATTAAAATGCAAGCACTCCATTAAACAAAATAATTTAATCTTGGAAATTGTCACTTTGGCCTAGCTCCAAATCATGCAAGTACATTGAACCAGAAATGTGATGAGCTGTTCGCAGACCAATAGGGAGGTGTGTGGGGAAGAAAAGGTGGGTCAGGGGACCATCTTCTTAGATGGTCTTCATAGATACTAGTCAAAAAATAGATGTAGGGTTATATGTCTTGATGCAGTTTTTACTTGCTCCAGCCATTTATAATTTCAGTGAATTGTTTAGGGGTTTAAATTTCAATTACGCAACCATTTTTTAAAATATTGCTCTACAACTTATTGTTATTATTTATGTGCTTTAGGTGAAATAAAATAACAGACTGCAGGTTATAGATTACAAATTACAGACTAGGTCAGGTTCCGATGCAAATGACAATCCAGCTCATGTTTTTTTCTCTGTTCCCCAAAGATCTTAGAGTGTGGCGTACAAATCCTGGATCTGTCTTTGACTATGACCCAGCTGAAGATAACATACAATCAAGAAGCTTACACATGCTTTCTGGTGAGTACCTTCCTATATGTCAGTGCTTCGTTGGCTTCCTGCCTTTACTTTGACTATTCCCCAAGAAAAAGACTTAGAGTTACAAAATGAGAAATATAATCAAATTTTAGGTTACATTAACCTCTTCAGGCCGGCCGCACGCAAATGTGTGGCCTCCCAGAGTCTGGGCCTAGACGCCGAGCGGCCGCACATTTGCGTGCAATTAAGAAAAACATATGTGCTGAGAGCGCGCACCCTGCACACTCCCAGCACGCATGTCCAGAACTTTCCCGATCATGTGACCGCTGTAACGGCGAATCACGGTGGTCACATGACCCTAAAACCCGCCCTGCCTTCTGAAACCCTTAAAGGGCTGGGAAGCACCGGCGCCAAGGGGTTAAGAGAAAAAACCCAACTAATTTAAAAGACAAAAATACCAATTTCTATAAAATATATATGTATGTGTGAAACACAAGGTGAAGCCCAACACATTTCAATATGACAATGATCATATTAAATGTATTGAAAGTGGTATTAAACCCAAAAAGCAAACATTATTTTGCAGCTTACCAATTCTTAGATGTGGTGGCTGCATTAGTTTTCTTTTTTAGGCTTTTTTTCTTTTATTTTCGCCTGGTGATCCAGCCAGTTAAGCAGCCCATAGATGACTTGATTTTCTTTCCTTCCACACGAGTGGAAGGAAAGAAAATCACTTGATTTTGATCCAAGTATGGCCGGCTTAAGTCTGTTGTATTGTTTGTTGGTCAGCTTTTATTTATTTATGTAAAATATTTATCCCAAAAGAAAATAATTTTTACCATAACTTAAAAAGAGTGTGAGCTGGAGTTTAACTTCAACCTGTTTAGTGTATCTAAATCTGCCAGTATAGCTAACACTACCCTCATTGCAGACCGATAATGCTGCTGTCCACAGTTGTCTCTGTTGCTCCTTCATCCAGAGTGGAGACAGTAATACAGGAAGTGTGTTACTGGCCAGATCACCAGATGAAAACAGGAGGGAAAAAAACTCTTCTTTTGAAGTTAATGCTTTGTGACTTTTTTTTCAATTTAGTGATAGAGTTACATTTGTAAAAGCTTTCAATGACCTCTGGCTACATGCATTATAGAGCAATTAGTTCTCAAAGTTCACAAGAGAAGCAGTGAATGGGTGTTTAATTCCAGTAACAGCACTTTGCTCTCCTCTCTTTTTTTGCATCTTTCTGTTTACATGTGTGATTAAAAGGCTGGCAGGCTGAACATTTTTCTTTTGTAATTGTTGAGAATGAAGTACTCTGCAATGCCTGTAGCTATGGATGTCAGTGAGGGCTTCTTTTAAAGCTCATTTACTCCCTGGATAGATGTGTCAGTATTTGAATGTTAATGGTCTATTATCAGTTCTACTTTAGGGGGAACATGTCAGCCTTTTGAATCTAAAAGGACTTACATAAGAGGAGGAACAATGGAGCACTTTCTATTTTCTTATTTTCAGAACACCCTCTTCTGCATACCCCTTTGATTGGGCCCATTGTGCTGCTAAGGGCTTGGCTTCTCCTGCATAAGCACTCCACATACCATTCCATTACCTAATGAGAAGTAGCCAAAAAGTGTACACTCAGACTTTTCATTTAAAAAGCTGAATAAGACAAATATACTTTCTTTAATAATACATTGATGGTAATAAATATTTTTTCATTTAGTTCAAGCCCGTCGAAGCCGTGAGCACTCCCGGTCTGCTAGTGCGCTTAGCTTGAGTGCTGGGGATGAAAAGTCAGAACTTTCTGAGGCTGCTGACCAACACCATTCCTACTATAGCAATGGAGGTCTGTTTACCACCACTGTAACAGGTATAGTGAAACCTATTGACCACATCAAGTTCATAGTTATAGTGCCATAGTTCAGCACTTACCACTATCGTTGTTGTTCCAAAATACTTATAGGCCACAAGGAAAGTACACAAATACTGTTTTACCAAGGTAAGAACAAATTCCACAAGAACTACTACTAAGCTACCCAGCAAGCCTCTTTAGCATCTAGCACTTCATAACAGCTTTTAGCAGCAAACTAAGGCTTACGGCAAATGCTCAGGATTTCCTAGTTCTAAGTTCAAGTTTTTTTATATTGTAGGATACAAGCAAGCAAAAACTACTGAGCTTCCACAACAAAGGTCTTCTTCTGTAGCAACTCAACAAACAACTGCCTCCTCCGTGCCATCACACCCATCCACAACTGGAGTAAGTAATAATGACTGATCATATCGTTTACATGCATTTTGCCCAAAATTTCAATTCTGCTGGTTCTCAACTGGTGGAAAGACTTGATGATACACACCATGGCATATTTGCCAGCTTATCTCTTTTCTTTCTCTCCTTTAGCCTTATAGGTTTATGGTAGTCCATCTGTAATGTCACACTGGCGATCCTGACACTGACAAGAATATGTCAGTGGCAAGATCCCTAGAACATACAGGGAGAAAAAAGCATCTGCTCTATAATTGTTGCTCCCTCGCCAGCTCTGGCAGCACTCGCTGCTAAAAACACTACTATGGCAGTTCCCTTTTTAAGAAGCAAATGGGCTGCAGTCTGGAAGACCCATAGGTACCCTGTTATCCAACACTTCCTGCAAAACAACAGAACACAGTGGTGTTGGAGCAGGAAGGACAACATCTCACCAAAGGGGGGGAGGGGGGGATTCTGTTTCACAAACCTGAAATCGTTGGATAACAGTGGTGCCTGAAGCTCTTCAAGACAATGGAGATTTAGCATAAATACAAAAAATAGACACAACAATCTGTTTTGTATGAAATTAAACATATAATTGCTTTATTTCAGAAAACGTTCAGAGCCATGTATGACTATCGGGCAGCAGATGATGATGAAGTCTCTTTCAAGGATGGAGACACCATTGTGAACGTTCAGACCATAGATGAAGGATGGATGTACGGGACAGTTCAGAGAACTGGCCAGACTGGCATGCTACCAGCTAACTATTTGGAAACCATGTAAAGAATCGTCCATGACAGATCTGGCACTGCCTTAATAAAAAAAAAAAAGCAACATCAACACTATAGGGCAGCAGCCGTTTTTATTATTCTGTCAACTTACCTTATATATGAAATAAAAGCAATTAAAAAAAACAACATCTTAAGCAGCAATTTCCTAACATCGGACTGCAACCTGACTGTACTTTATAGAGATTTTAGATATTTTTTTTTCTTTTTCTTGAAAATAACATCAGCTAATGCCAGATTTTCTTTGGTTACCAATTAATTCTAAACTCACATATGTTGTGATTTACGACTTGAACAATGCCATAGGCATCCTACCTGCTGTTTGTATGTTCAATATGTTTTCTTACTGTACACAGACATATCATATTTCTTGGTGTTGTAAAATCCACCATTTTACACTGATTTAATCAACTGCCCTAGGATATGACATGATGGAAGAGCCTCTCCCCTCCTCTGCTTATGAATGCTGCATGCATAAGATTATATTCTAGGGTCAAAAACATTTAATCCCTGTACATTAGCGATCAATAAAGCTGGGGTTTCTGCAGAATTTGCTGTGTCCATAAATAATGATTACAAAAGGTCTATTTAAAATTCAGGAATGAACTATCAAGTCAGATAAATAAGGTTTATGTTGTCTTCCCTTTGAGGCTATAACAGTCTCCATTCTACTGGGAAGGCTTTGCACAAGACAATGGGCTTGAGTTACAAAATCTGGAAAGTGCAAAATCTGGTGCAGCTGTGCATGGCAGCCAATCAGCTTCCAACTTCAGCTTGTTCAATTAAGCGTTGACAAAAAAAACTGGAAGCTGATTTCTATGCAACGCTGCACCAGATTTTGCACTCTCCAGTTTTAGTAAATCAATCCCAATGTGTTTGTGAGAATTTGTGCTCTTTCAGCAAAAAAAGCATTTGTGAGATCAGTTACTAATGAAAGAAGACCTGGTTCACATTCCAATTCATCCCAAAGGTATTCAAAGGGGTTTGAGTCAGAGCTCCATACAGGCCACCCAAGTTCTTTTACACCAAACTCATTAAACTATGTCTTTATGGAGCTGATTTTGAGCACATGGGCACAATGATGATGGAACAGGGTCTTCCCCACAAGGTGAAAAGAGCAAAATTTACTAAAATGTCTTTGTATGCTAATGTTTGTCAATGGAAATGTAAAGTCAAAGACATAGAAATTGTGTAACAAAAATAATCACTTTCTGCCACTGTAAAATTTTAGGCAGATCTAAAAATACATAAGAAAATTAAATTTTTAAATAATTAAAGTGGAACTCTAGACAAAGAACTTAAAGCAAAGCTAAAATAATGGAATCTTTGTATTTACCATGAAACCCATTTCTTCGAGTCTATTCAGGGAAATAGAAATTTAGAGACAGTGCGAGGTTTTACTGTTGCCTAAAAGGAGATTGGACACTGGCAAACAAAAAGCTGTGGCCAGCACTGTATAACCCCTCCCATCCAGTGGTGTGTTTAGGTTTGTCCCTTCTTCCTTCCCTTCTTCCAGGGGGTGGCACTGCAACCCTGAAAACTGCCACCCTAGGCAAATGCCTTGTGGTAAATACGCCCCTGCTCCTACCCCCATATCTGTTTTCATGAAAAGCAGTACCAGCAGCATGCTAATAAACACAGAGGGGTGGGACCTTGTCCTTCAATGAACTCCAAGAGATCATTTTAGAACATTTCAGTGGAGTGCACCTTACTGGAATGAGCGGAACCTGATCCTTGAGACTACAAGCTTGGATAAAGGTCTGTCTGGACCACCAAGAATTGGTGGAAAAAGAAGGTTTCTCTTTAATGAGAGTATCAAAAATGGTAAGAGTCAGTCTTACTAGTGGAAGCAGTGACTTTGAGGTAGACATGCACAGCTTAAACTAGGCTAACCTAAGGTCTCTTTTTGATGATGAACTGGAGTTGGACAAAAGAAAAGAAAAATCAAGCCCTGGTTGAGATGAAAAGCTGAACCTACCTTAGGAATGAAAGAAGTTCTGGACCTCAATGCCACCTTGTCCCTGTGTAAGACCAGACACAGAATACGGCAGCCAGGTCACTCGCCTTGCAAAGGTGATGGTAACAAGAAATACAACCATGTACATGACAGCAGAGAAGGGAATGTTCCTGATTGCAAGGAAACATTTTTTGCAGTGACAAAAGAACCAAATATACAGTAGATCCCATGACAGAGGATTGTGCATGGAGAGCCACATAGAAAACACCTTGCACCAAGTTCTTTATCAAGGAATGAGAAGCCAGTGGTCTCTAGGAACAAAGTCACAAGTACGTAAAGCTCAGCTAAGGGCCAAATGCCGGTCCAGGCCATCTGTAAAAAAAAAAAAAAAAAGGGGAAGATTTGTACCATTAATAATTTCCTGGGGTTAAAGTTCATTGTCTTGCACCAAGCAAAGTATGCCTTCAATGTGCAGTGATAGACCTTGTGAGATTTGGACTTCCTAGTTTTTAACATCCTGGGGATCACTGATTTTGAGATGCCTCTGTTCCCCCAGAACCAGGGCTTCAACAGCCATGCTGTTTAAGCTAGATACCATGATGCAGAATGGTAACTTACTGCTTGAGAAAGAATATTTGGCTGATCCAAGTTAGGATTGGGATAAGCCTATGGAGCATCTGCAGGGAGTCCTATTAGGTCAGGGAACTAAATCCACCTGAGCCAGTCCAGATCTCAGATCACTGATGGTCCTGTCGCAATCCTGCTCCACAAACAAGGAAGGAGTTTCAGCAGGGTAAAGATGTATACAGATCCCACAGTGCCACCAGAACATCCACTGCTCTTGTTTGAGGATAACTACACCTGGAGAAAAACCTGTTCAGTTTATTGTTGGACCTGAAAGCAAGGAGGTTCACTTCTGGCATTTCCTACTTTTCCTGGAACACTTCTGGGTGTACAACCACTCCCCCAGTTCCAGGTGCTGCCAGCTGAATTCTGCCTGCCAACTGACCACATCTAGGATTTAAATGACTGACAAGGCTCTAAGACAGGATCAGCTTTAGCTCACTTGCTGTGGCAAGATTTCTGGTTCCTCCCTGATGGTTGATGTATGCAACTACCAGGGAGTTGACACTCACAAACTTGACTGGCAATCAAAAGTGACCAGAACAATGTAGGCTGAACAAAGAAGCAGCAGTGTAATGGCATTTCCTCAATGCTAAATGGTGGGAAAAAGAGTACAGAGTGCACGCTTAACATTCCACCCAGCAGACAATTTCAGCTCTCTCTGTCAGTGTTAACCCCTTTTTCAGTAAAATTGACAAAAAGTGAGAAATTCACTGGTGCCCAACGATCCTGATAGTGGGGTAGCTCCTGGTGCTAGACCAGCAAAGCTTACTCACAAAGTTAGTTGTCAGAGACATGGTCATACCTGGGGCTATGTCACCGCTCTGAACCTGAAAAAGGCTCCACAGCTACTGTAGCTTACTAGAACACTCTGGTCTGGAAAGTACCACAATGCAGAGCCTAGTGCCCGAACGCCACATCCCAGGCTAGTTCTACAGCATCCAGTCCAGTTGTCTCTGGCACTCAAAAGACAGGTTGAGGAAAGGCCAACGCAGATAGCTTAATATAGAGACCAAATCAGCAGGGAAGCAGTAGGAATCTTGACTGAAATAAAAAACAGTAGCTAGTGAAATAGGATAGGCATTCTCTGCAGAACCAAGAAAAAGCATCCATCATCCTAGACACTAGCGAAAAACAGAGGCATAACAGACGGTTTAATAGGAGTAGGAGGGAATATACTGTGCTGCCAACAATTTTTTTTGCTTGCCAGTGTCCAATTCGCCTGTAGGAGGCAAAATGACCCAGCATCCTCTGAATTCTGTTTTACCTGTAAAGGATTTTAATTTTGGTCAACATTCTTGTGATACACACCAGGGGTGGACTGACCATTTGGAAACTCGGGCACTGCCCGAGGGCCCTGGGTCAGTAGGGGGCCCCATGAGATGCCCCTGGTACCTTTATCATAGGCTTTTTTTTAGTTTGGGCAAGGACACAGGGGCCCCATGATCCCCTATTGCCCGGGGGCCCCATGAGTTCTCAGTCCGCCCCTGATACACACACACCTTTGCTAGTCAGTATGATTAGTCTGCTACTTCCTGGGTTACCATTACTGTTTCCTGGGTCAGCTCCCAGCATATTGGACAGATGTGATAATACTAATTCAATGTCCAGAGATTAGACTGTCACAAAACATAACCAGAAAATAAGTGTCACTTGTGCGGCTGTAAAGAGGTGCATAAATCATAACTAGCTGGCCAGATTCAAACATTCTTTAGTAGATCTACAATAAAGGTATATGTGTTTCAACTGTGCATTTAGGTGTTTTCTGAAGGTGTACGTTTATGAATAACTAGAGAATGTACCTAGATCTTTCTTAATATCAGCCCCTATAATCTGCACAGCAGCACTCTATTTCTTTACCCAGTGGTAACCGTCTAAGACTGAATATACCCACAAAAGGGTTGAATGGTTAACTCCATTAGTGTTCTTCTCTACCTTTATTTCCCAGTCATAGATGTGGGAGTGCTAGGTTGTACAACAAAATACATAAATGCCAAATGTTTTTACTGCATTCACTTAAAGTAAGCTTCAGATGTATAGCATCTTTTATTCTAAAGCTGATAGGCAGTGCTTAGGATAGCACTCATAAAATACCGTGAAACTCAAGTATTTTGTTCTAAATAATATGAATATAACTTTCCTTTGCTCCTGGTATTTCTTGTATTCCATACTTGCTATTTAAGCAACTGCAAACCTAGTTTTAAAATCATCAATTTAAGTTTAGCTTGCCATTAGCCTTCTGCTCTTTTGCATGTTGTAAAGGGGTGCGACCAGTTCTGCCACAAGCAATTTAATTTGCCAGATTGTGACCATAATACAATCATACCAGATATACAATCGAATGAAAGTCTGGACCAGGTAACATAACTGACCATACTGATCAAATTCTAGAATCACAACACACTTTGGATTAC